CTTATAGCCTAATAATACCTATTACTCAAACAGCATAAAATCATGGATAATCTGAGCATTTGAAACATGAGGAGACAGATTAGTTTTTCACACTTCTTCTGAGTATGCTGATCCCATCTATTATTTAAACTGTGACTCAGTTTTCTTATCTTTAAAATAGGGATAATCATCACACCTACCTTATAAGGTTTCTGAGGCAACTAAATGAACTCATGTATGTAAAGCATTAATGATGTCTGGCATTATTATAACTATTGTCTCAATTTTTCCCTCACTATGAGCATATAGGCTAGATGACGCTCTGATGGCACTTTAATTAGAAGCTTTTTATGTACGTTCTGAAAGTATTATGCTCGGATGATGCAGTCCTCCCATATTGCTCCCATAATGCACTAGTGTCACTCATTTGCTTGCCCCATGAAAAGCAACACATGAACCATAACCTTTCAAAGAACTTACTTGAATGGCTTGCATTTGTGTAGCTTAAGGATAGAGTCTATCTTATTATTAGATGTGTGGTTTGTGAGGCAGGATTTGTGAGGTAGGGCTAGAATGTTAAGGAAAGACACAGTGATCCAACCTCAGTACAAAAAGTGCTAAAGCACCATTGAAAACTGACTGGAAATACAACTCAATTCTAAAAGTACTTCTCTTCCTGCTATTGGCACAGATTCACCTCTGGTAAAGGCTTTCATCACCAGCCAAAGCTCTCGCTGTGAGAACAGAAATGTCATCTATCTCATTCGTCTTTATGCCCAACATCTGTCCCAGGACTGAAACTGAATGTACTACTCAATAAATAATGTTAAAAAAAGCCTTGGAAGACATCAAGGACGGGTTTGTAGTTCTGTATTACAGGGCAGTGCTGTTATCTTTTTCTCATCCTTCCCGTGATCTATGGGATATGCTTTAACTGGAAAGCCATGGGAAATGCCCAGACAGGCCCATGAGCTTCCCAGATAAAGAACTGTCACTTCCTTCCTACATAACCACTTCTTGGAATGTTTTAACATAGGTACATGGAAATTAATACCAATTCTGGCTTCCGTCTTTCCATCCTTCTAACTTCCTCCCCTGTAGTGTTTCCTTTTCAAAATAAGAATGTTCTACATAATGAATGGAACCTTAATTTTCTTGTTGGCCATTTTCAGAAATAACCTTGGCTTCTCCTCCCAACCTCCAGACATATTAGTTAGTGCAGGAGTTGAATTTCCTGGCTTCTCCCCTTTAATTTCAACTTTTAGGAATACAGCAAAAGCCTTGTTCCACCCACTGCCCATCCTGTGATGTGCAGAGCCCTGTGGATCAGCACTAGGGACTGTGCCTCTGGCCCGCGGTCTCCCTGGGAATCATCCTATCCTGAAGGTCCTACACAGCTGGAAGCAAGTCCTTTGTTGAATTCTCAGTGGCTGAGTCTAAAGAGAGGACGGTAATGGCAGGGGGTTGGGATAGAACAGACAGCTCAAAAGTTATGTCTTATACAGTGGTTGTAGGTTTTTTTTACTTGCATTTCCCGCTTTTTTCCTGCTTGTTTTTGTGCTCATACAACCACTGTATAAGACGCACCCAGTTTTTAGACCCCCGATTTTTCAAAAAAGGTTGCGTCTTATACGTGGGGAAATACGGCATTTGGGCCTGTAAAGAATATCTTGAACCAATGATGTATTACATACTGATTTCAGGACTCCTGTTCTCCTAATTTTCTTATTCCTTAAGTGAGAGGGAAATTTTTACATCATATCATTCTTCATTTAATTCTGCAAATGCTATCGAGGGGGAATTGGTTACATTATGGTATATCCATTTCCTGATCCTCCCAGTCAGACTCAGGGATCTCGATTAGATGCTCTAATAGCACCATTTTTTCCTACTTAGGTGTAATTATATTTTTATTTTTATAGTATCTATAATATCTATCTCCTCCACTAGACTGTAAGCCTAATGAAGGCAGGGAACGTAGGGGAGTGGGCAGTGTGTGCCGACAGCGCTTAGCACCATGCTTGAAATACAGTAGGATTTAATATTTAAATGTATAATATACACAACAGAGGAGTACTATGCAGCCATTTAAATGTATAATGTAGAATTTATTAACATCTAAAGTTACCCATATGTTACATTAAAAAAACCCAAATTATAAAACAGTATAGTATGATCTCATTTTTATAAAAAGAATAGCTATGTATACAGACACATTGATCAAAATGTTAATAGTGGTAGGATTATCGATGATTTTCTTTGCAACTCTCCATTATTATCTGAATTTTAAAAATAACATTCGTTTGATCCATTATTTTCTAATTTAAATATTTCCATTATGAAAACAATCAAGTTGATACTAAACATTTTTTTCTATCATCATTTCACTTGAACATGCAATTTTCAATTAGATGATATTTTAAACAATTGAATTTCTGAATGCAAATGAAAATGTTGGATCATACTCAACTTGATGCTATTTCTGATTAAAGCGGGCCTCTAACAAAATAATCATACCTTCATTTCTATATAAAGTGTTTTTATTTTAATGTCCATAATTACCCATTAGACTCTCCTCTCTCCCCCCCCCATACCGAATAAAACTACAATTTGTCATTTTTAGTATCTGCTTATAATTTTCCCTTTTAAAAGATATTAATTTATATAAATAGGACATTTACAGATAATGATCCCTATAGA